ACAGTAACCGTATTTTTTCTATGATGGAGCAGCGCATTCAATTGTTGACAGAAGTCCTCTTTCGCCGAGTCAGCGCTACAATCTGTGAGCACATAGGTCGCAATGACAAACAAGCACCATTTGAAACCACGCCACTTCGATGCCTTGAACCAGCCAGCTAATCTGACAGTGCACATCCGACTGTTCAGTTGTATCCAAAAGATAAAGGCAGATTCAGCCCTGGGCTAAGAGCAATGCCCACAACGGCTTAACCGGCATTTAAAGCCGCTCTGGACAAACGAAATGAGAAAATACCGCTAGTGTCGCACGTTGGGGATTGGACGGTAACCACAAAACTTGAAACCTGCAGGTGAGTTTCTGACAAGTATGAGATGTCAAAAAGTGCATTCAAGCAAACATGTTCGTCGCCTTTCAGGCTTCAACCATGGAGCCGAGGCTCCAAACGATGACAACTTCAAAATAACCGACCTTAACAGTCTTGACCATGTCGTCATTTGGCTTCCCCTCCTCTTCTTCCATCCGTACCCCCGGCGCGCAAACAACGCACGTCAAGTGAATCGGTGGGCTGGCTTGCGCAACAGGTGGCGCAGTCATCGCAATCTCGTTCGTGAAATAACGGTGCTGAGCAGTTCATCCGCTCTTTATGCGCCATAAACAACGCATCGAACACGCTCATCGCACATAGGGTGTTCCCACTAGAGATGAGCCAAATCGCGAAGGCACCGGTGGTGGAACTTAACAAGCCTCTTTACGTCTGCCGACGTAATAGGCCAGGTTTCATAAGCGTACAGTAGTGTCGAACGCACGGCTACATGGTACACCTTATCCCAAAGGAAAAGCGATGCCGCATCGACGCCATAGGTAGCAAAAGATAGCAAAACCGCTTCGTGTTTTTGTTATGCGGTTCATGATCTCGCCCTCCATACCACAAGCGTTGATACAACCGCCTAGATGGTTAAATTTTTGAACGACTTTTAGTTGATCTCCACCAAGGGTCAGCGCAAGAAGCGGTCCATGCCAACCATAGAGGAAGGCTTTGAAATTATGAGGGTTAAAAGGAAGTCTCAAAATGGATGACATCCTGTGCTAATATGTACAGTCCCGCTTGGCACGTTTGTCAGCCGTTACAGATGAGTTCAATGTCGTCAGCATACCATAAGTCAAGAAGTACTTCAGAGAGGCAGCTCCACAGCTTCCAAGCCGTGTCCAGTGACGTTAAAGAGGAGAGGCGACAGCTGGCACTCCTGTTTTACAACGCTGGAGATACTGAAGGGCGGCAATGGCTTGCCGTAAGCACTCATTCTGCCCGAGCAACGCGCTTAAGGCGCTCGGATAATATATAAATATTTCTCGGGCATACCCAGAAGATGAAGGGGACTAGAGGAAGATAATATAGTCCCGCGGCCTTATTCAAGTTCAGTAGCCAGAGCTCACGTTCGACTTTGAGCGAGAGAGCGGATCCAAAGGGACAATACAAGGAACATGGTAATCAATAGCGGGGGAGAAACCTGACAATTCTGGCCAATAAAATGCCTAACAGGGTACTTAGTCCAACGCTGCAAGCTTTCTGACAAGTTCTGTTTAGGCTGCCCGCTCTCGTCACATCTATTTTCATTAACCTCCCATGTTTACCAAGGACCTCGGTCACTTTCATCTCGGAAGCACGTTTAGACCACCAGGATACGCAGACTCTTCAGATTGGCACGGTGTTTTGCTTTAAGGCTTTTGCGAATCTTATTATACTCGTTTCCAACCGGAATGTGCTGGCGAGCATAGGTAAGTTCCGGAACCTGCGTAGACACCCAGGGCCCAGGTTGACTATTAAGTTTACCATAACAGGATTTGTCTGCGGCTAAGGTCTGGTGAACATTCAAGTAGTAACCATCAAAGTTTTCAGTGAGCACTTAACAAAAGAGAATGCCAGCGTACTCCAATATGCATTCAGAACATCTGGCTTCGCTAGTTGGCGAGTAGCTATGAGCTTACAGCGTAGTCGCAGGCGTCCGTCAAAACGCACAAGCATATTAGCACATGCAAGTGCATAATCAGGGTCCACATATGTGCGCCAAATCAAGCGACAGTCTTGGACACAGCATCTCCAGCGGTAACTGATCGCAATGTGATCGATTTGCATCCACGGTCAGTGGGCACTATGTCGCCCTCCAATGGGTACTGTGTGGGAAGTGAGTGCTCATGAAAAAGAGACAAGTATTTTCACATAGGTGTAACGACAGCTTACCGTTATCAATAAGGAAGCTTACACCAAATTATTTCGAATACACCATTTTGACCGACCAGATGCAGCTCAAGAGTGGTCAATTTTCAACTTGAGCGTTCATATCTCCAGGCAGCACTACATTGTCCGTGCCACTTCTGTGACGGAGGTCGTTCAGTTGACGATAGAAGTCGTCTTTCACCGATTTAGCGGTACAGTTTGTGGGTACGTAGGCAGCGATGACGAAAAGGCATCTATTAGTCCAGCGCGACTTCGAAGCTTTGAACAAGAGAGTTAGTCGGACCGCACACTTCCGGCTAATGATTGGGATTCAATCAACCAGAACAGGTTCAGCCCTGGAACTTATTGTAATACCCACATTGGCTTGGCCGGCACCCGAAGTTGAATCATCCCCGGATAGACGCAGTGGGAATGTACTGCTGGTGGCACCTGCAGGGGATCGCAGAGTGAGCACACAGCTCAAGTCGTGTAGGCTTTGTGATAAGAGGCCGATTTTGATCGACAGGTTCAGTAATTTTCGAGCAAGTGCTGCTTGTTGACCAAACTGCAACAGTGTACGTATGTTAAGGCATGTCATTCTGAAGGAGAATCGAGGGCTCCAAATAGAAGCAAATGAATCGGGCTTGTCCGCTTGGTTGGAGATGGGTTTGTCGACAGGGCAGGAGTGACGCTACGCATTTGCGTGTGAATTGAAACTAGCAGATAAATGTTATCAAAGCGAGGTGGGGAAGGGCTAAGAATTGAAGGTGGAAGAAGGGGGAGAAAAGCAAAGTTGGAAGGGGGCGATGGTTAGAAGGATGTGTACGGAAAATATATCGCTTGTGACAATCCTTAGTTGTCTGTTTTCGTTTCGCTACCGTCTATTTCTTGACATTTGATTAAACGCATTATTTCTTTGCTCTGGTTGGTCAGCCTACGTCGTTCGTAATGGATGTTATCTCAGGTGGCCATTTCCCCTAATACCCTTACATCGAATTCGCATGATTGGTTCTTCCTTTTACCACTTCTCAGTCGCTTGTATTATGCAATGTCTCCTATGCCGATAGTTCGCTCCAAGGTGTTTTGGTAACCATGTTTAAACAACTATTGTCCCTTTTTAAATGAAGCAGATTTCCCGTGCATACAACTCCGTCTTGGCTGGTCTTCGTGTTCACTCTGTGGTCCTAAGGCGTGAACAGTCAGCGGCGATAGAACAAGGATGCGGGTGAAGAATCGCAAGAGGGGAGATAAGAAGAGTGGAAGGCTTGAGCAGTAGCATCCAAATCCCAATCCACCCTGCTCGATGCTGCAGATAGGGCGCAGTTTATTATCTTCTGTGGAGGTCAGAGCATCAAATTATTTGAAAGAAAAGTTCCAATGTTGTATTGCGTGGGCAGGATACTGTCAGGTTGCCTAGGTCTATACAGAATGATAAGGATTCTTAACCAAAGCTTTTGGTCTGAAATCCTGACCGCAAAGCAAGGGGTTTGGTAGTGGGCTATAGAATAAGCAGCCACCCCCATTCCAACCCCCAATCTGGAGGACCACGCGTCTTCTAACGTTAGTCAAAAGAGTGATTAGTGGAAGGTGAGCTAAACAATCTGCGTTGTGCTGAACGGGATGAGTGATGCGACGATGTAGAGTCAAGCTACGCTTGACAGGAAAAGTCCTCCGACACATGAGAAAATGTGACGTCATTGGATCCGACTGGCGTAGATAGAATAGCAGAAGGATTGCAGTGATAGACTACCAAGTGGGTTCTCAGGTACGAACATGGCTGAAAGGAGCGCGGACTTAGTATGCAAAAACAGCATGCCAACAAATAGAGGGTCAAATCCAGACCATTGGAACGACGGTTCGAGCAATGGATAGGTGATCCACAGGTCGTCGGTTCTAACCTTGGTAAACTGGAGTAATCACACAGTATCCCGGCTCGTATGCAACTGGCGGTGGTTGTATGGTAAAGAAGCGTCGGTATAAACTATCGGCTTACTGAGGAAGTATTTTTATGATGAATTCATCACTGCTATAAACTTCACTGGAGTTGATGAGGATGGGGAGCATGAGCGTTAAGATCTCCGAATAATCGTGTAACGTGGCTGAGTGCGATAACCATAGATGAGGGCCTCGAAACGGTCACATCAGTGGCTAGGAACCCGGTTGTGCATTGAGCAATCGTATAGACAGTAAAGCGTTTGTGTTCTGTCTTCTTTACATCCAGTTGTTAAGGCTACATCACTATTGATTTTATTCACCGATTTTGAAATTCTATCTTCTCTATCACGTATGTGGTCTATCTCGTTTTCTTCATCATTGTCAACTACCAATGTCCCGGAGATGCGAATCGTTGTAGCTAGATAGACCGCGGTTCCATACTCTGATTACAATTATTTAGCTGAACGGAAATATACCGATTACCTTCTAGAGACACCAATAACGTTAACATACCAGGTTAGAGAAATTTTGTTTGCATGTCATCACCAGAAACATGCAAAATAAACCTGATAATCTAACGATCAGATCTTAGTAATGACCTGTCAGTACTGACCACCTCGCCTCTCTACAACTGTGGCGCAGTGAAAATCGTTCTCAAAACAAGTCCAACAGATACGCCACTAGCACTGCGGGACAATTCCCGACAAAGATGTCGCATAGTAGAAAGGCACTGGAGAACGAATAAGGAAATGGGTACGAGGATGTTGGGCTGTTGAAAAGCCAACGAGGTATCAAGGGACAAGCGCGAAAGAATGCATTTAAGAATACCAAAAGAAACACCCGAACGGAGTGCATTGCTGCAAACACATTGTATTGACCGTACAAAGTCTAGCTACAACATGTAATCAACGCAGCTTCGCGAAGTCCACAGGATCAAGCGGTGCGCTGTCGTGGATACGACGCTCTAAACTGTCCAGTGTTTGATTCATCTGTTAATGCAGAAGCAAAAGCAGAAATAGCGAGGTTTAATACTGAGAAATAAGCAGTAGCAACTGAAGATCACGAAAGAAGCAGAGAGAAAACAACGAAAATGAGCGATGGAAAAATGTGAGGTGGATTCGATTTTGTCAATTACTTAGTCACGGAAATCGAATTACCAATTTAAAGATGTTGAAGTTAGAACAAGGATATTTTACCTAAAAGAGTCAACCGTTCACACCGTGGCACCAAATAACGAAAATGACCCAGTAAGTGTGAAAACACATAAGTCTCATGGACGAAAGTAGCGAGCTATCACAGAAGCCACAAGGCCACCAGTCAGCAACGTGTTTCGAAAGTGGGTGACCGGGTAACATTTCAGGGAAACCGCCAAACAAGATACGTCATGGTCTTCGGCGAAGCATAGGGTTCGTGGTGTTGGCTGCTAACACGAACGCTACTCGCATGAGACAAAATGTCTGCAATGTTCTTCAATGCGCAACGGCTACACCCTCAGTTCAAGGGGCAACAGCGGACACAACATAGCTGGCTGATGAACGGATGCATCGCTGGTCGCATGAGCAGTCCTGTTCAAATTGTCTATATACACAGCATCCACCTCGAATGGATTACCTGATGGGATAGCCCCGTCGATTATGAGTTCGATGACCATGGGAACCGATAGTGTTAGACAAGTTATACGCCACCAAATTCGCACACGGAACACATGCCAAAAAATGCAAATAAAGAACCCAACTATCCTACGGCGTTTACCAAGTGACAATAGACAAATGGGTATTGGAGGAATTTGCTACCTTAGCTTTGTACGGATACGTCATACTGGTAAACACACCCAAACAAGTTGGCCTATCGAGAGACCGAGCTTCATAGCAAAAAATGTTCGAAGGGAGCAGGGTGGGAAAATGATCATGCTCTAGACTGCAAAACCTAGTTTCAGTATCGGTATACGGCAGATGACACAAGATCGAATGTGTAGCGTTACGCTGGCTAAGCACAACAAAACAAATCGAAAAACATAGTTGGAACCCTATCAGTTGAAATATGACAAACATGCGCGTGGTCGGACGGTGGACGAGTGGATAAGCCGTTTGGTTTGTGAACCACAGATTGCCGGTAGGAACCTGTATTGGAACAAGCGATCTTGTGGTGTCACTATGCCCCAAACGACTGGCTGGGGTCTTGTGGCAAAGAGAAGTCGGTACCACATACAGGTGTAATAGGTTTTCTGAGCTATATCGGCGCCTAACATGTATATACAAGGTGCGAAAGCATTTGAGGATATATGTTTCCATGTTGCTGAATATTGCTATACTTATTACCTTAAGGGAGAGGCTATATTAATGGTAAGTAGTTGGCATACTTAATATGAGAAAAGATGTGCTACAATTGGGGTTTCAAACGCTGCGGGTACGATTTAGGAATTCGGTAACAGGTACGCTCACAAATGAGAAAACGGGCTGGAAACCTTCGAGAAGGTAGGATAAAATGTTACATGAAACGTGGTGCGCCACAAGTCACCAGTAAGTCATCATCAGCATACCGGTGCCCAGGTGTCGACGCTTCGCTGTGACGCGACCAACGACAGTCGCGTGTGGGTTGCATATACTGCAAGGTCGCCGGCATCTACGCAAGATCGAGGCAACGAGGTGCAAGTACAAATCAGATGCACAAACCGCTCAAGCAATGACTGGGAATGAGAGCTGTGGATGGTGACATCGGAACTCGGTGGAGAATGAAGTCGAAGTCTCGTAAAGGTGGGCGTCATCGTTCTACAAATTCCCTTCATTAGTTTGCAAACAACACAATGCAATGACTCAACGATATCAGAACGTGGAGGAAAACACGTAACCGGTCACCTGCTGCAACATCTCAATGTGACGGACAAAGTACTCGGAAAAACGTCTGTCCATTGTTGTGTCGGCAACGTGTACCAGGTTGCCATCAACGAAGAAGTCCAAATCGGCGAAGAGTTGTTGTGGTCCACTCAAATCCGGCGCACCGGCACTGGAGAAGGCAGCTCCGTATCCGCCAGCGGATTCGTTCGTTTCTGGCGCATTCGAATCGGAAGGGCAGGTGATCATTCGCAGTCGGTATTTGCAAGCCATCAAAGCCATATGCACCTCCAAATCAGACTGATAAACGTGCAAGAAAAACACGACGGGTTAGTAGTCAAAATGGACATTAGAGGGGTTACGGTAATTAAAGTGGGGACTACAAAGTGCATAGCAAAAAAGTTAATAAAGAGGCAGGTTTTGCGGATGAAAGAAGAATGAAGACGACACAAACGTTCACAAAATAAGTGTCTATGCTGACGATGCGATGCGTGTGAACATATGATGCATCGAAGCTACCATCAGACCACGCTTGTATCATTTAGAGTATCACCGCACAGTGGAAGTTTATTCCCCCCCCTCATACGAAGAGCCTGATGCGAACGTCGATAAGCCGGCTACATACTCAATGCCGAACACTCGATCACTGCTCCAGGAGATTGATAAACACTGTTGGGAGAGGATAAATCAGTAATGACCGCGATGACGCTAAATTCAAAAGCTCTATCCATCGTACAACGGTCTAGATATAGCTCGTTAGCCATCACCACCTGCTACGAAGGATTACCTAAATTCTGTACAATTGAAATGTACTTTGAAGGTGCATGCGTCGGTTTCGAAACCGCTGTATCTTCTACCCAAATACCTTACAAACTGAATTCTAGGGATTCACACTGCATATCAGCTGAGTAGGTAAGTGAAACCGTGAGTGAAACAGTGCAAAAGATTCGTGATCCCTCCGTAGGCTCGGAGATGTATTGTGCGAATACAAAGTCATAGTGGTAGACATACAAATTCCGAGTCAAGTGGATTCACGGCACCTAGGTGCATGAATCACGGTTGATCACCAAGTAAACCCGACCAACTGGAAGGTTAACAAAGTCTGGGTGCGGACACTGTTGATCAGTAGAGAAACAACCTCGGCAGTAAAGTGTCTATCAACGGACTAAGGGGCGACAAAAACACCACAACACAGGAGATTGGACATTAACCTAGTGCAACGGTCTACTTCCCTCTCCAATACACAGAGCTATGCTGGGTGATACAGGGCAAACAAGCGAGATTGAACTGAAGTAGAATACATTTGGGGAGGGAGATATCTTGGAGTGCGTATTGGTGCAGCTGTTTTTTTAGGAAGGCTTTGTAAATGAGGACATCAAATCGCAGTCTTGCCCATGTTTTTGCACTGTGACAGGGTGTAGACCAGCGTAAACCCTTGATATTCCGGTAAAACACCTAAAGGTGCTTTATGACCATGCGATGGCTCTTTCGGCGAATGTAAATATGAGGAATCGAGCTAGCAAACATCGCCAAAACACTCTTATCAAGAGGTAGCATGACAACCACAATGACAAATGATGGCAGGATAACGGTGATTGGTCGCCCAGTGCTGTCGCCGAACTGCTAAACAAACGATTGTCTATGCACCTGAGTCTGAATAAGTCGGAAACGTGATTATCAGAGAGGAAACTTGTCATACCATGGTTAAATATGCAGCCAATTTCGAAACCGGCATGTTCGTGTACAACTTCAAGAATGAACGCAAACGAAGGAGCTCAATCTGATGGCTCATTTCCAATTTGAACAGCTCCATTTGTTGACGTTGTGGTTCTAGTGCATACACCGCATCGCCTCCAGTGGTCGAACGAGTATAGTGTGGAGACTCAGGAGTGATGAATTTCGGACAACCCAAGTCGAAGGAGCTGACAAACTCGTTTTCATCTCTGTAACGCAAGGTGGAAAGGGAAGCAGTTAGTCGACTAGTGTGCATGGAAGAAGGAAGTAGTTACTGTTTGTGTAATGACTTCAGGATTACATGACGCAACGTGAGAACACTAAAGCCGTGTGTCAGAATGATTGTATAGGTACTCACAACTGCTGCAATCGTAGCATGGTTTCGGAGAACTTGTCCCGTCGATCAGTGTCCATTGCCTGATCCGTGGAGAGCGGACTGAGTGTGAGACAGAGGGCGAGGAGACTGGACATCTGGTCCGACTGTTTTTGCACATATTCCCGTAAATCAGTCCGCTGAACAATTCCAATAGTTCTAGCTTTGTAAGCTAATGTGGCCGAAAATGTGCGGATAGCATCCATGTAGCGTCGCATCATCATGTAGCAGAAACCGACGTAGTAACCGGTGGTGACATGGCAAGTGGGAACTTCGTGGTACATATCCTGTAAGGGGGAGATGGAAGGTGAAAGTACTGAAGCGCGGGACATCGAATAAACAATACACAAACATGTAACCGATGGGCCAATAAACATAAAGTGGACGCCATCACCATCATCCATGTCGGTGTAACAGTAGGTAGCAATTGTGCCTCATGACCACACAACCATAATTACGAAAGAGAGGAGAGATCTGATATAAGATCCTTAATGCAAAAACCAAATATTCAGTGGCAAGGCAAAAAGGCCTCAGCACATCGTCGTCGACACTTCGCTGCTACGCGACCACCATTGATCGACCGTGTGGGCTGGGTATACCGAAAGATCGCCTGCACCGGCGCAGATTCGAATCGGTGACCACCAGGCTACAAGGCATGCGTGTAATCTTTCGGCCACCGACCGACATTCCGGAATAAGACATTTACATTATACGAACAAAGTATGACTATCAATATCCAGACATCATGCAATAGCAAAATGGTACAGTCTTCTTGAAAATTTCCATATCGGGTGTCGAAATCGATATTAGGCACGGACAGCTTAGCAGCAAGTACGTATTAGGTAAGCTGGACCCGTTAGGAATGGTAAACAAGTCGCTGGTATCTACTGTTAACAAGGTCCCGTAAGATCTCTACAGTTAAGTAATATATGGGCAGTAAGGATTCCAGTCAAAAAAGCCGGGAGAACTAACAACACCCAGTCCATTCATTAGCGGAATTACTTTCTATTAACAGGTCGACGTCTGCCTTTTCAAGCCTCGTGTCTTCCTAGATCCGGTAAACAAGGCACCATTCCGTAGCCAGTGGGTGGGTATACGTAGCTACGAGCAATGCGATTTGTAGACGCAGAGTTAAACTGACCGCCGACACCTAGCACGTGCCTGTGTGCCTCTGCGTTGCAGAGGAGATGGTGCCACCAGACACGAGTTGGGTCCCCTAAGCAAATGAGTCAAAATACGACATACCGGTAATCACCAACTAAAGCAATGGCAGTTTGGTCACGAAAGTTTAGCACAGTATTTGCACCATGAACCCTGCCAGTTATCATGCAACAACCAACTAGATGACGTTAGGGGATGAGATGAGGTAGTGCAAGTTAATGTAGAAATCAGCTGTGTGCAGACGAACCAACTACAAATTGTACCCGAGTTGAGCTTCAGAGAGCAAAAATCAACAAAGGTGGGAGGAAATTGGGAAAAAACGTTGACGGATCCAACTCACAGAAATCATTTAAGTCCACTTTCATGAACTCAGTCTGAGTATGACCTCATATGAAGCAATCTTACAAGCAATCGACCATTAACTGAACAAAGGAAGTGCTAGCAACAATGTGACGAGGAACAGGAGAAAATGAGACAAAATAGGCACACTTTGGATGGAGGAGTTAGTAGTTGGAAGCAAGGGGACGAAGGCAAAAGTGTCGCCAATTTAAAAACCAGTTCATGTTGGACAGAGCCGGTAAGTACCGATGTAGTAGATTCCGGTAGCCCCTATATAAGTGCCACGGGGTGGCAGTCACTAGATTCGAAAGCCCATCTAATGGAGCACCAAATCAAACCTTAAACCGCTGTGTTGTGCACATTGAGGGATAGCACATACCAGCACAGACGGGTCGACAGGGCCCACCTGTCCATCGGCGCATACAGGGGGCAGCAGCACGATTACAAAGGCAAGTAAGCTCAATATTCTAGGTGACTTCTATAGGTATGGTAACTAAGAAATAGGAAAGATCAACAGAAAAGCGGCCATTGTCGGCCAAAAACAAACTCAAATTCCAAGTATATAGAACAAAATTTGATAAAGCAGGGAGAAAATTGAATAAATTCATTGAGCACTATGAAAATCATGGAGTATGCTACGTACAAAGTAAAGCGAAACAGCCAAAGTTACCAAAGAGACCGTGGCTTACTAAACGGCTAATTTTAATATTTTCCAGCACTTTAATGGCAGTGTAATAGTCACCCAGCAGACAGTGTAACCTGCAGAGTCCAATCAAACTGAAAAAGCCCAGCATCTTGTAGAGCACGCAACGGCCGAATTCGTCCGCGATCTCATCGGGATCACCTAAGAAAAGGGAACAATAGTTGCAGATAAGGGTAATGCACACGAGATAGAGGAAAAAGGCACAAAAGAAACATTGACTGGATGTATGGAGGGAATGACAAACCACATGAAGTGAAAAGAGTAAGGACAGTAATATGCCGTTTATTAATGACCGAGGACTTGGTTAGTGGTGAAATTCCGCGGATCGACGCGCGGAGGCTATGCCGAGGTGACATATGACGACTGAAACAAGCACGACAAATAAAAAAGTATAAGGCATTTTTACAATAGCAGAAAAAAGAAGGACAATTGAAAGCCGTTGCTAAACAACGGGGTGGTGTCATGTTGTGCATGCTACATAACAACAGATGAAGAAGCAGAGAAGACGAACTCGTATCGAACATAGTGGAAGGCTCGTCACACAACACCGATCAAGAGAGAGAACATATCTGAGGACCAAACTCGATCATGTGGACCGCCTAGCCTTGCCCTGGCAAGGTGTATCGTATGTCATCAGACATGAGAACCTCGATTCCTCCAGTCTTCAACGGCTTGATACCATCAATCCCCGCCGATCGGTTAGTTGTATGTAAGCTGAGGTTGATGCTGAATACATGATGCTTCTACACCGTAGTTGGGCTAAACCGACTTACACTTAAACCAGATCTTTTAAATCTGGAGAAAAGTCATTCCACTATATTTGATTTGTTTAGTTCTGTTCTTTCGCTGCATCTTCTGTGTTAGTTGTGCGTGTTTGCTTTCCTTCAAATTCTTTGTTGGTTGTTTGATATCCCCGATGTAGCTGCACTTGATATGTAGGTTGACAAGGTGCCTACCTCCTTAACCCCCTCTACCTCAATTGCTGCCTCCAGGAGACTGTGATTCGTTGCTGGAGTGAACGGGGTACACAGTCCTCGTGGTCATGCTAGGCTAAAAGAGTGCCTCCATCCGGTGTGGAGCAGAGTACGGCCCAACCACCGCTTTGCGTACGTCTGGTAGGCATGATTCCTCACATAGATAGAAAGGCTGCTGTTGTCCATGTTGAAGGAGTGAGAGCCGGCTCCGTTGATGAAACGTGACTACCATGCACATTTCCCTCGGTGTTATACCTTCGGGTTTACACTGGATATGGAGTGTGTAAATGGAACTGTGGGTGGTGCAGCGCAAACCACCCATAGTCGCTCTGTAGATGCAGGAGTCCTGTGGCTGTCCTAAGGAGGCCGCAGTGACAAGCAAATGCGGAAAGAGATGGCGCCAACCACGCAAGTTGAAATCGGAGTATCCTGCAAGAAAACGTGAGGGCAAACATGTATAAGAAGACTATAAAGCCAGAGGTATTCGGACAGCCTGGTGCTGTACCCGGCGGTATTTTGACATACAAGGGCGGAAATGAGCAGTCCTCACTCGGTCATTACACCGTAGCTGAGCAATTCCACTCAATCAATAGAAGACAAAGATTAGTCTCATAATGGTTTCAACGCGCAGTGGTCATGTTTCATGCATAGAGTAGCACACCTCGCCCTTGACAAATACGCTGCTATCTCACCGTCTGCATAAGTAACTGAGGCATTGAGAAGCCACTATGACTGCCAGAAACGACACGGCTATCGAAATACATAAAGTGAGTAACGAACGGAAGCACTTTCATCGTACTTATAAGAACGGATGTGATGAGCCATTTTTGCAGTAAACATTGCCATCTGGTGAGAAAAGTATATCAATGTGTACGGCATTTTGCGCCCATATATTCAGTGACGTTCGTATTGCTATCACTGAAGTAGCAAAGAGGACAGAATCGCCCATAAATTTTCCATCAAAAGTAGAAGAGAAAGGAAGTCCTGAAGCGCTCCACTTGTCGTGTGGCAATGAGAAGTTACGATTAAAAGATTCCATGTAATGTAGGATTTGCTATGAAATGGCACAGACAGGCACAATCTGCTGGATTAATGATGATAATGTGTGCGTTACCATCAAACCGGCCAAAAGACCGAATAGAAGTGTACGATGCTGCCTAAAGAACAGTATCTAACCTGTTATTCGCTGATTTCAATTTCACAAGACCACTGAGTCGCCGTAGCATGTTGTTCGCGAGTAGTTTGAAGATGAAAATATAGCTAATACCTCGATAATTTCCACTTTATACACAGGGATGGCGACCAATGACACTCTGCCAGAGATCACGGAGCAAACTCTCCAGATGTAAACAAATAAAGCAGCTGGGCCAACTGCAACTAGGGTCTCAGTATTCATTATTTACAACAAGAATATATCGCCAGGCCTAGGTATCTGTTGGGCCTTAAAACCAAACTTAACGTAGGCTTATTCGAGCCTATTATATGTCATGAAGAAAACGCGGGAGAAGTGAGACCTAAGTGGTAGCAACCACAGTCCGCAGGAAGAAGTTTTAAATGATCTCACTTTTTAGATGACAGCTGAACCTGGTTAAGCAATAATGAACCGCGCATTTTGATGCAGTGGATTCAGATGATATGCAATCCAACTGTCAGGTCCTCCGCAAGCTACCGATGAGTGAGTTTCGAAATGAAGGATAAAACAAAATGCCCCGATTCAACAGAGCATTGATAAGGAAAAATGAAATTGGAAGTGAGAGTCATTTGGAAGCATTGGTAGTGTGAATGAATCGTGACAAGCAATCTCAACAAGGACTGCGGCTCGCTTCGAAGCGCATCCCCGACTGGGGCCAAATCCGAAGCGGATTAATGGTAGGTACAGCGGGCTCGCAATGCACTTCGCGACCGGTTCCATACTCTTATAGCCTAAACGGGTAAACATAGTGGGGTTAAGACGCGAACCCAGAATATCTGGGATATTAGCCGAAGCCCTTAATTATAAAATGAAAATAGCACCATCAGCACTCCGGTATGCAGTACTGACGCTGCGTTGCCACACAACCAACACCAGTTACGCATGGGCTACAATATTATGAAGATGCAGGTTAGAACCCGTGAACCCAGATAACAAGGCAACCAGGTGACCCTTAAGGCCACGGACCGGCTGCACCTACCCAGATGCCAACGAGTCGCGGAGGGTAACCGCTGTCACAACAGCCAATTACCAAGTGGGGGCCAATTTGAAGCACGCGTCTATGTTAACGGAGAGTGAACAGAGGAAAACCACCAGCAACCAGAGCGGCAGCAAAAATATCCGGGGTAAGATTGGGTTAACCGCATGCCTCATGGAGGTTAGCCAGGTCCATTGGTTAAAGGAGATAGTTAAAATGGAAAAGAGATGGAGAAAGTGAAAAGCATTGCGAAACAGGAAATTCGACAAGTCACCATCAACAACAGCTGTACATCAGCCATTTGAACTGATGCTTCGCTGCCATACAACCATGGTGACCTATGGAATGAAGAACAATAAAAGAGAGAGATAGGGGAATTACGGGAAAACTTTAATGCCCCAAGCAAACATTCAAGGTAAAGGAGCCCAAACATTGTGCAGACAACATACCGTCACAAACAGCTGGTTATCGTGCAAAGATAAGACAGCATCAGCGAGACAGCTTCCTTGTAGTTTCCACAACCACGCGTCATAATCGGCCATTACCTCGCAGATAACTCAGCACTTTAAACAGGCAATCGGACTAGGAGACGGCAGCAGTTACGCCACTGGTGTTGACTGCAAGCCATGCCCTGTACAGTCTCGAGCCAAGCACAAGGTGAGTCACGTGGACTCCAGCTCGGAAGGCGAAACGGACCAACGGCACCCAGTTTGACAATCAGTGACTTCATTCCCCGCTGTCAAATCAACTTCTGTCCACCTCGAGCCTTGCACCAACCTACATCTAGCGGACAAAACAGGGTCCTCCTAGGTAAGCGGTGACCAGACATGAGCAGCACGTGCGCAGACCAACGCAACTTATTCAATGCAATCTGCTGTTATAAGGACCTAGCTTGGGCATCATTGCACAGCACTGGCCTACGCATATCATCGTCGCGGACACGCTGGTGCCATCAGACACCGGCAATGCTCCGCACACAACGGTAATCAAAGACTTATAGGCGCCTCATATCTTCAGACCGAAGGGGCCGCTTCCTTACCATAGAGCAGAACGGCCCCCACTGTGACCTTGTATACACGGGCTTTCAAACGGACGGAAACTCCCCTCTGTCGCCAAAGATGCCGTAGGTTCGAGAAGGCAGCTCTGGCCTTTGCAATGCGTGAGCTGACATCAGTTTCTATGCGCCCATCATTGCTGATGAAGCTGCCAAGATAAGTGAATTAATTAATTAACCCGCACTGTCTCTGATTGTCTCATTGATGCCTGGTTTTCTGGGACCAGTGATGCGGATTAGCTGGAAGAGCTTGCGGTAACTGCCTATTGCTCCTGCCTCCTCCATTTCTTGAGCGCGATTGGTCCATCAAGCTTCCCTGGCAGCACGCAGGCACCGCTATAGTTCGCGCCTAATAGTCGGTCTGATCATTTTGTGCTCAGAGCCAGCCGGGACGTCTTCTGGATTCCTACAAGTTCACCGATCTCTCGGATATCCAGTAACGGGTGCGTGACGATTGATAATGCTACAAGCAGATATCTCCGTGCCGTGTATGGCGTCCGAGATCCAATTCCAATGAAGCACAATCTCATTAGGATAAGACAGCGAAAGCTCGATACACAGTGCGTCTTGATAGACTTGCCTGACCGAGGACTGAGACAATTTCTCAGTTGCCAATCGGGAGAGATGCTTGCTACACCTGCTGGTAAGTGTCGTTGAGAAGCGACAGAGTACCAAGGCATGATCAGAGTCCAAGTAGGTACTCTAGAACGAGCGGCAATCCAGGATGGAACCACGCCATCTGTAACCCATGGCTATGTGGTCAATTTGGGTCCATCGCTGGCCAGCTACAGGAGGAGACCATGCAGCACTTCGGCACTCACCGTGTCTAAAAGCAGTGCTACTAAGAAACAACTGGTCTCCGAACACTGTTGCCGCAGACGCTCACCGTTGTCAGTCCGTTCGGAGTTAAGCCCACATTTACCACCTAGCTGAGCTTCTGAAGAG